ATTATTATAAAATCACAAAAAAATTAATAAAAACTATTTCAATTTTTTTAAATAATCTATAAAACCATTTTTTTAATATTATAATTTTTATATTTATATTTTTTTATATACATAATTCATATTTTTTATATTTATCCAAATGTAACAATTAAATTAAATAAAAATGTTAAATTACTGAATTTAAGACAATAAAAAAATTTAAACAGTTTGGAAACGCTCCGGTTACTCACGTTACCTCGGTTCCCTGAGATAAGGGAACGAGCATTGCATCATCATTGATGACTGCTTGGGGAAACTCCTGTTTACTCTGTTACTGAAGCCTGATTTGTTAATGTTTATGTAGTTGCACAAACCAATGGTGCTCAAGCCCGCCAGAAAGGGCGGAGTCAACTGCTATATAAGTCGACCCGGAGCGCCATTTCATCAGAATCAACGACTGAAGCGACAGCCATCGAGTCGCGTGCAACTATAGCATGGCCAGTTACGCAACGCTCGTTCCCTTATCTCAGGGAACCGAGGTTATGTGAGTAACCGGAACGTTCCCTATCGAAAGGTAACTCCCATTGCGTCATCATTGATGACTGCTTGGGGAACGTATCCAGTAAGGCCGTGTTATAAGCAGATGCAGAACTTAGCCTGCTCCGTGAGCTCAGCCAAGGGACACTCAGCGAGGGCTCCATAAGCCTGAGCCACAAAGAGACCCGAGAATGTTCTGAGGTCTACTTGAGATAACTCTCCCCACCCGAGGAGGGGGGGAAGTAAGCATTAGGCGGATAAGACCCGCACCACTCCTGTTTACTCTGTTACTGAAGCCTGATTTGTTAATGTTTATGTAGTTGCACAAACCAATGGTGCTCAAGCCCGCCAGAAAGGGCGGAGTCAACTGCTATATAAGTCGACCCGGAGCGCCATTTCATCAGAATCAACGACTGAAGCGACAGCCATCGAGTCGCGTGCAACTATAGCATGGCCAGTTACGCAACGCTCGTTCCCTTATCTCAGGGAACCGAGGTTATGTGAGTAACCGGAACGTTCCCTATCGAAAGGTAACTCCCATTGCGTCATCATTGATGACTGCTTGGGGAACGTATCCAGTAAGGCCGTGTTATAAGCAGATGCAGAACTTAGCCTGCTCCGTGAGCTCAGCCAAGGGACACTCAGCGAGGGCTCCATAAGCCTGAGCCACAAAGAGACCCGAGAACGTTCTGAGGTCTACTTGAGATAACTCTCCCGACCCGAGGGGGAAAGGGGAAAGGGGAAAGGGGAAAGGGGAAAGGGGGGGGGAGTAAGCATTAGTTGGATAAGACCCGCGCCTGCAGGGCAGGGACGTCCAAATTGTAGAATCTAATAAAGGTAGACGGCGACGACCAGCCGGCGGCCGCACAAATCTCCCCAATAGAGATTCCACTGGACCAGGCCCAAGAGGAGACCATTCCTCTGGTGGAATGGGCCCTCACACCTAAAGGGCATTGCAAGCCAGCTGAGGCATAAGCCAGCGCTATCGCGTCTACTATCCAATGAGATAGTCTTTGCTTTGTGACAGGCAGCCCTTTAGAGCGGCCTCCAAAGCACACAAAAGCTGCTCTGATTGTCTGAAAGACTCCGAGTGCTTAATGTAAACTCGCAGTGCCCGGACAGGGCATAGCAAGTTGGGACCTTGTTTGCTATCCGTTCCAGGGAGGGCTAAAAGAGAAACGACCTGGGCTCTAAACGGAGTTGAGAGCACCTTTGGTACATAACCGCTGCGCGGCTGGAGAACGACTTTACAGTCGTTGGGTCCAAACTCAAGACAGGAAGCACTGACAGACAGGGCTTGTAAGTCCCCTACTCGCTTAACTGACACCAGGGCCAGCGGTTTTGAGTGTTATGACCCTTAAGCCGGCTATTTGAAGAGGCTCAAAGGGGGAGCTCTTAAGAGCTCTCAGGACTATACACAAGTCCCATATTGGCACCGTCCTAGAGCGAGGAGAGTTTAACCGCCGAGTGCCTCTAAGAAACTTAACGACCAAGTCGTTTCTGCCAATTGTCCGGCCAGCCTCGAGAGAATGATTCGCCGCGATGGCTGCCACATAGACTTTGAACGTGGAAGGCGTGCGCCCCTTATCCAGCAGCTCCTGCAAAAAGGTTAGCACGTGGGACACGTCACATGATACCGGATCCTGGTTCCGTGCTGAAATGCTCTCAGGGAACGTGCAGTCCCCAGCCTGAAAGATGCCGCCGCTCGCTGGATAGGAAGCGTTCCGGCGTAATCCAAGCTCGCATCTTGGTGAGAATATGAAGCCTCAGTGAGTGCAGCCTCTGCGTGGACGACCCCCAGACAGACACACTCCTCGTGGCCGTCAGCTACACTCGCGAAGCGACATTTGAAACAACGCGCTTGAGAGATTTGCTCAGAAAATTTGCTCTTTTCCAACACCGGATGGCCGCAGTGGAACTCCTTCCACTGCAGTGACTTGGTTCGACGGCAGGAGAGCAGGCTGAGTTTCTTGCTTCTTGCTTCTTGCTTCTTGCTTCTTGCTTCTTGCTTCGGCTTCTTGCTTCGGCTTTGTCGCAGAGTCAGCGAAGAGATGGTCTCGTCGCTGAAGGAGAAGATTCTGATTAAATGGCGCTCTGGGCCGACTTATATAGCAGTCGGCTCTGCCCCTTCTGGCGGGGTCGAGCGCCATTGGTTTGTGCAACTACACAAACGTTAACAAATCAGGCTTCAGTAACAGAGTAAACAGGAGTTTCCCCAAGCAGTCATCAATGACGACGCAACGGAAGTTACCTTTCGATAGGGAAAAAAATTACTATGAGCTACTATGAGAAGAGCATGGAGGTGGAATATCAGTTAAAGATCTTAGCCAGCATTGAAGAGAAACACATCTAAATTTCTCAGAAAGTGTCAATAATGATTATATGATGATAACATATATACCCTTTTCTCTGATTCAAATACAGAGGACCTCTCTGATATTCTGTCCTGCTTCTGAAAAACATTCACAGAAAGATTAATAAGCAAAAGAGAATAAATGCACATAGAAACAAAACCGTAAAGGGATAAAATAACACTGTAAATTCATATTGAAAGCAAAATATGTACAAAAGCTGAATGTTTTAATAAGCAATTACTGCTGGACCAGTATCTAGATATATTACTTGCTTTTCACAGACTGTAATTCCTTACAGATGCTGTGAGCTACACCAAAAGCCAGACCTTTGGGAGCCTGATTGTTTTCAGAGAGCTGGTTTGTGCTATTATTTTTAACACAGGTCTCTCCTCTTGGCGGATGATGGTCATACGGATGATTCAGGACACAGAAAATCTCTCTCCTCATCTGCTGGGATTGTTTTCTCACCTGTGTGACTCTGTCAAGCTGTGAGCGGAGTTTGGTGAGCTCCTGTTTGCTGTCCTGCAGTCGAGACTTCAGCTTCTCATTCTCAGTCAGTGCGTCCTCATACAGCTGATAAAGTGAAACAAACCAGGGTCGAGTTCATCTGACTAATTTAGCATCTCCACTGGGAGCTGCTTTCCTGTTGCTGGTCAACAGAAGACCACTAATGGTCTACACTGGATAAACACATTGGCATTTAGATATATGTACTACTGTATTTTGATTTGACTAGATTTGTACTGTATATACAGTATATATATATATATATATACAGTATATATATGGTATATATGCATTGTCCATGCCATAAAATACCCTTGTCTCTGGGGATAGTATTTGAGGGAGAATATCTAATGTAATGAACACACAGTAAGTATTTTATAAATCAAAGTTATCCTGACCTTCTTATAGTCCTTGCTGGCCGAGTCGTCCTCTGTTTTGCTCAGAGAGGCGAGTCTGTTCTCTTTGCGTGTGTATGTGCTGGTCCGGGCTGACAGTCTGTCTGACGGAGACTCCACACCACTAGAGTCTGACCTGCTTTTAACATCAATCATCAAGTAAGTGTTGATCATACCAGTTTTTATGAATTTATCTTTCAGTAAACAGAAGCAAATTAATAAATGATGTTTTTAGACAAGGAATAAAGCAGCTTACCTTGACACCCGTTCTTGCTAGAAAAAAGACAAAAACAAAAAACGAAGTTAGATAAAATGTGCTTAAGTTGTCATTTAACATATAAAGGTGATAACGACATTACATTCACAAAGTAAAGTACCACTTTTTTTAAATAAATGTACCATGGTATTCCATGGTATTCACTGATAAACCATTCAAGCACATGAATATGCTACTCGTAGACCCACATCTCCACATGAAAGTTTTTCTTTTTTTCTTGTGAATGCACCCTTGTGAAAGAAAAATGCACAAAAAGAGTACTTCCAGAAATAACATACTTTAAAATGATATATTTAAGTACAAAATTAATGTAATGTTTTCAGACACTAATGCGAATAGTTGCTCTTTAGTGTGCTTTTTTGGACTTAAGCATGTCTTCATATGTAGTTTAATAATTAATCTTTGAAATATGGTTAAAATGCACTGCTGAATGCCCTGACAAACATTAATAGTAAATTAAACAGTTTAAATGCAATTTCTATTGAAACTTGTATTTCATGTATTTAAATATATTTGTGATTACAGGTTTGTAATGATGAAGATGCAATTTAGTACATTTAAAATATATTCAAAATATATACTTTAAATGTAATAAAATGTAATGCACTACAGTTAAAATTTTAATCAAGTACTTTACATGTGCTTTAGTATGTTAGCCAACACATCAAAATAAGTGTACTTCTTTAAAGCATGACAAAAAAATTGTATTTTAAAAATTGTAATATAATTATTTAAAATGTACTTAACTTAAAAGTACAACTTTTAATTTACCATTGTTACAATGTGCACTTTATAAATGTATTTAAGTGTAACATATTCAAAGTAAATGTGAACTCACTTTAAGTACACTTAAGTGGTCTTTTATTTCATTAATATTATATTTTAAGTACACTACAAGTGCACATTGAATACAATTAAGCACACTTCTTTTTCAATGGAAGGTTTGCATCCACTTGATTACTAATCTGGATACAAAAGCTATTGGACGTGGACAAATCTAAACAAGCTGTTTTCTGATTGGGTGATTTTTCGATCTTCTTGATCCGATCATAGTGATCGCATCTTAATGTAAACATGTTTAAATGACCTTATTGTGCAAACAGTAGAGTTTTTAAGTGTGACTGAACTTGTGATATAAGTGAGCTGGAACAGCAGGTCAGACTGAGTCTTCTAGACCTCTCGATCTGTCAACGGAAGTCTGCCATACAAATGCCTGGAGCAAGAGTATGATATGTTGCTGCAAACTTGTGCATATGTGTGTCTACAAAAAAATGTCGTGAAGTGTTTTTAGTACACCCACTTCCGCTCACATTTGAAATCACACCAACTCCATTTAGCAATGACAGCAAAACAGCTCATTTCAAGAGGATTTGTGCTTTTTGTTCTTTTGTAATAAATTGTTGCTCATTTTTGTCCACTACACTCTAAAAAATGCTGGGTTAAATACAACCCAGTGCTGGGTAAAATAGGGACAAACCCAGCAATTGTGTTGTTTTGACCCAGCAGTTCGGTTACTACCCAGAAGGTTGGGTTAAACATTTAACCCAAACGCTGGGTCAAAACAACCCAATTGTTGGGTTTGTACCTATTTTACCCAGCACTGGGTTGTATTTAACCCAGCATTTTTTAGAGTGTAGCAATTACATTCCTACATTTTCCTTGTACAAGTACATAAATCAGGTTGTATTTATGCGAGCGTATATTGCAGACAGTAAATCTTTTAAAAGAACATTTAATTTCCATTTTAGGTACATGTTGTACATAGTCACATATTGTAAGCATCACTGTCCACCATCACTGTCTGGATGACCTTTTATCCTGAGGATGTGCATAGATGGTAAATGACTCGTGTAAAGGTCTGACAGTCCAAGCAGAAACATCCTTAACAAAGATGGCAAGCTACAAGCCACTCGTAATTTCAAGTAGTTAAACTACAGTCAAGCTACTCGGCGGGTGCAGATTCCACACGGGTCTGGTAATGTTCTCATTGCTTCAGATTTAAGGCTGTTCAGTCCAGAGAAAAAGAGAGAGAAGGAAAGGCATAGAAAGAATCCCCTCTGTTCCTCTGCTAAAGACAGCACATCCTGTTTGGACACTCGGCAGCACACTTGATTATGCATCAGAGAGGAATAACAGTCCACTGTCTGAGGGGGACGTCTGAACAACGCCAAAAAAGGTCATGCAGAATCCGTCACTACAGCCGGACAAAGTTTGGAAAAAGAAAAAGAAGAGCTTTTCGTGTGCTCATAAAAGTAATTACAGCAAATGAGATCTGTTAAATGAGATGTTTCTAAAACTACAGGAGCTTTAATCACTTTTTACACTCTCATTAGTGTAATTGGTCCACTAACAATGTCCAACTATATACGTGCATCACTGGAGAATTAAGAAATATGTTGTATATAAAATGTTATTCCAGAAATAACATACTTTAAAATTATATATTTAAGTACAAAATGAATGTAATGTTTTCAGACACTAATGCAATTAGTTGCACTTTAGAGTGCTCTTTTAGACTTAAGCATGTCTTCATATGTAATTTAATAATTCATCTTTGAAATATGGTTCAAATGTACTGCTGAATGCACTGACAATTTTTTACCTGACAGTCACGCTTATTCCCTTGTGAGTGTGCTAAATTGTATTGAATGTGCACTTGTAGTGTACTTCAAATCTTAAAAGTAAATATTTTTAAAATCTGTACTTTAAGGTAATATTACTGAAATAAAAGGCCACTCAAGTGTACTTAAAGAGAGTTCACTTTTATGAGTATGTTTTTAAGTACATTTTTACAAAAAGTGCACTTTGCAATTAAATTGTAATTTATTTGATGTCAAATTAAAAGTTTTACTTTAAAGTACATTTTCAATCATTACGTTTTAATCATTTATTGTCGCTTTAAAGTGCGCATATTTTGATGTGTTGACTAAAGCACATGTAAAGTACTAGATTATAATTTTAACTGTAGTGTGTTATTCAATATTACATTTAAATGTAAAATATGTTAATAATATACTAATTATTATTATTATTATTATTATTATTATTATGTTAAAAATATGTTTAAATACACAGCATGTTTTAATAATTAAGTATATTTAGTAAAAAAAAAAAAAAAAGTATATTTTAGTTTACCATCAGTGCATTCGTCAGCACACTTTAACTATATTTCAAAGACATTATAAGTATTTATGAAATTACATAAACACAGAGTATGACAATAAGTCCTATGTAAGTGGGTGGGAAAGCACTCTAAAGTATAGCTAACTACATTTTATATACGTGTATATATAAACTATAGTATATTTTCACTGAATTGCAATTAACATGCTATTTAGTGTCTGACAATATTACATTCAGTTCGCACTTAAGTATATTCTTTCAAAGTATATGTTTTAAAAGTATGCTAAAGTTACTTCTTTTTTACAAGGGTTTACATATCTCAAATTATGCCTACCAACATTCCATGAGGGAAATGATGGTGATGGAAATGACATTTTAAATACTTATTGAATAAAATGTCTGACTCCTATATCAAGCTAATTGTATAACTATATCACACATATACACAACTAAATAATAGTTCATTCTTTTTGCAAGATGTGACAAAATTGGCTTGAATAAAAATGTTCATATCACCTGTCTCATATGTCCTTCAAGCTCTGAAACTATTGTCTCTTTGGTAACAAAGTGCACTACTTTTGAAGTAGTACTTTTGCTCATACAGGAAAGGATGGCATAAATGAGTGCCAGTCCTAATTTTTTATATAAATCTATTTTCACACAATGCATTTTGAAATGGTTTATTTTACTCTTTGTTTAGATGATCAAACTTTAAAAATGTAATATTATATACTTTATGATGGATATTTTATAAATATTTTAAGACTGAAATTCTGGCACAAGTGTAAAACAGCCAAATGTAAACAGACAGGATATATGAAAAGTAGATAAAATAAATGATTAAGGCATAGAACATAGTATTTAAAAGTTAAAATATGTGATCTTTTTGGTTGATTTTAGAATTTTTTAGAAAAGAGCCCGTAGTTGTAGAACACATAGAATGACATAGAATGACATATACGAGCATATGTGACAGTGAGAGTATCTTACTGATCGTAACTGCATCTGCTATTTTCTGGCGTGATTCTGTAGTGTTTTTACATGGAAATAAACAGAGAGATGAGAGCATGGCCCCTGGCCACTGGAGAGACAGGCCCATCTGAATGTTTACACAGTATTTCAGAGACGTCTCTCCTTATGTGGTTATACAGAGCGTCCCCAGGAACCTGCTCTCTGACCACATCACGGCAGCACTGGAGGAGAAACAGAGCTTGACCTGCAGCAATGACTTACAATAACTGCTATAATATCTGTGGCTGCTCTGTGTTTTACTGGCAATCATTATGATTTCTCAAAGTGAGGCAAGATGCCTTATTCAAGTCTTTACATGTAGCCACAACCAAAAAGTTTCTGAAACGTTCACAATGTGTGCTGGTGGTCTTGTTTAGTGTGTGGTCACATCATGTGGGGTAGATGAAGTCCGTATTTAGTGGATATGTGTTCTGGTGGTCTTGTTCTCATGTCGGGTCATTCTGGGATCTGAGGTTATTGTGATTTTCTTGGTTTGGCATCTATTGTTGGTCCAGGAAGAACATTCCTATCAAACAACTATAAACCACCTTAACTTACAATCAGTGAAAGTAATAGTTCACCCAAAAATGCAAATTTGCTAAAGATTTACCCTCAGGCCATCCAAGATGTACATGAGTTTGTTTCTTCATTTGAACAGATTTGGAGAAATGTAGCATTGCATCACTTGCTCATCAGTGGATCCTCTGCAGTGAATGGGTGCCGTCAGAATGAGAGTCCAAACAGCTGATAAAAACATCACAATAATCCACACCACTCCATTCCATCAGTTAACATCTGGTGAAGTGAAAAGTTGTGTTTATAAGAAACAAATCCATCATTAAGGCATTTTAAACTTCAACTT